TATATATAGTTGTATAGTTTTATACAGTCATATATATAACTAACCTAACCCAGCCTAATGTAATCTAACCCAACCTATACATTCATAGTTTACAGTGCAATTATAAGAATTTTTGAAAAATTATGTAGGATCATTAAGGTGCCCTCATCAGTCACCACTGCGTGTACCGGCTAGGTACGGCATTGGCAGTAAGCTGTGACGTCACCTGACGCATGCGCATAAAGCTCTCACGTGAGATAAAACCTCACGACTGCCCAACACTGCTTTAAAAACTTCATTTAACTTCACAGTTGCACTTCCAAAATAGTAATTTCATTTAGTCTTTCAAACGATATTGTGTTTTCTGTTATTTTAAATTAAATAATGTCTCATATTCCATCAGTCAGGTTAGGTCATACTATGTTAGGTCAGGGCTTAGAGTTAGGTCATATTAGCTTCGGTCACGGCCTAGGGTTAAGTTACATTAGATTAGGTCAGGGCCCAGGGTAAGGTCGGATTATGTTAGGTCAGGGCCTAAGGTTAGGTTGTATCAGATTAGGTTTGGGGACCTAACACATATTCCACAATTACTGGACAATAATTACTCTATTATAAGAGTAATTATCCTAATTACTATTATTATTATCAATTGTATATTACTACCCATATTACGACTAATATCATCGCTGGAACCGTAATTATCCTTACTACTCTTATTCTTACAGAGAGAGAGAGAGAGAGAGAGAGAGAGAGAGAGAGAGAGAGAGAGAGAGAGAGAGAGAGAGAGAGAGAGAGAGAGAGAGAGAGAGAGAGAGAGAGAGAGAGAGAGAGAGAGAGAGAGAGAGAGAGAGAGAGAGAGAGAGAGAGAGAGAGAGAGAGAGAGAGAGAGAGAGAGAGAGAGAGAGAGAGAGAGAGAGAGAGAGAGAGAGAGAGAGAGAGAGAGAGAGAGAGAGAGAGAGAGAGAGAGAGAGAGAGAGAGAGAGAGAGAGAGAGAGAGAGAGAGAGAGAGAGAGAGAGAGAGAGAGAGAGAGAGAGAGAGAGAGAGAGAGAGAGAGAGAGAGAGAGAGAGAGAGAGAGAGAGAGAGAGAGAGAGAGAGAGAGAGAGAGAGAGAGAGAGAGAGAGAGAGAGAGAGAGAGAGAGAGAGAGAGAGAGAGAGAGAGAGAGAGAGAGAGAGAGAGAGAGAGAGAGAGAGAGAGAGAGAGAGAGAGAGAGAGAGAGAGAGAGAGAGAGAGAGAGAGAGAGAGAGAGAGAGAGAGAGAGAGAGAGAGAGAGAGAGAGAGAGAGAGAGAGAGAGAGAGAGAGAGAGAGAGAGAGAGAGAGAGAGAGAGAGAGAGAGAGAGAGAGAGAGAGAGAGAGAGAGAGAGAGAGAGAGAGAGAGAGAGAGAGAGAGAGAGAGAGAGAGAGAGAGAGAGAGAGAGAGAGAGAGAGAGAGAGAGAGAGAGAGAGAGAGAGAGAGAGAGAGAGAGAGAGAGAGAGAGAGAGAGAGAGAGAGAGAGAGAGAGAGAGAGAGAGAGAGAGAGAGAGAGAGAGAGAGAGAGAGAGAGAGAGAGAGAGAGAGAGAGAGAGAGAGAGAGAGAGAGAGAGAGAGAGAGAGAGAGAGAGAGAGAGAGAGAGAGAGAGAGAGAGAGAGAGAGAGAGAGAGAGAGAGAGAGAGAGAGAGAGAGAGAGAGAGAGAGAGAGAGAGAGAGAGAGAGAGAGAGAGAGAGAGAGAGAGAGAGAGAGAGAGAGAGAGAGAGAGAGAGAGAGAGAGAGAGAGAGAGAGAGAGAGAGAGAGAGAGAGAGAGAGAGAGAGAGAGAGAGAGAGAGAGAGAGAGAGAGAGAGAGAGAGAGAGAGAGAGAGAGAGAGAGAGAGAGAGAGAGAGAGAGAGAGAGAGAGAGAGAGAGAGAGAGAGAGAGAGAGAGAGAGAGAGAGAGAGAGAGAGAGAGAGAGAGAGAGAGAGAGAGAGAGAGAGAGAGAGAGAGAGAGAGAGAGAGAGAGAGAGAGAGAGAGAGAGAGAGAGAGAGAGAGAGAGAGAGAGAGAGAGAGAGAGAGAGAGAGAGAGAGAGAGAGAGAGAGAGAGAGAGAGAGAGAGAGAGAGAGAGAGAGAGAGAGAGAGAGAGAGAGAGAGAGAGAGAGAGAGAGAGAGAGAGAGAGAGAGAGAGAGAGAGAGAGAGAGAGAGAGAGAGAGAGAGAGAGAGAGAGAGAGAGAGAGAGAGAGAGAGAGAGAGAGAGAGAGAGAGAGAGAGAGAGAGAGAGAGAGAGAGAGAGAGAGAGAGAGAGAGAGAGAGAGAGAGAGAGAGAGAGAGAGAGAGAGAGAGAGAGAGAGAGAGAGAGAGAGAGAGAGAGAGAGAGAGAGAGAGAGAGAGAGAGAGAGAGAGAGAGAGAGAGAGAGAGAGAGAGAGAGAGAGAGAGAGAGAGAGAGAGAGAGAGAGAGAGAGAGAGAGAGAGAGAGAGAGAGAGAGAGAGAGAGAGAGAGAGAGAGAGAGAGAGAGAGAGAGAGAGAGAGAGAGAGAGAGAGAGAGAGAGAGAGAGAGAGAGAGAGAGAGAGAGAGAGAGAGAGAGAGAGAGAGAGAGAGAGAGAGAGAGAGAGAGAGAGAGAGAGAGAGAGAGAGAGAGAGAGAGAGAGAGAGAGAGAGAGAGAGAGAGAGAGAGAGAGAGAGAGAGAGAGAGAGAGAGAGAGAGAGAGAGAGAGAGAGAGAGAGAGAGAGAGAGAGAGAGAGAGAGAGAGAGAGAGAGAGAGAGAGAGAGAGAGAGAGAGAGAGAGAGAGAGAGAGAGAGAGAGAGAGAGAGAGAGAGAGAGAGAGAGAGAGAGAGAGAGAGAGAGAGAGAGAGAGAGAGAGAGAGAGAGAGAGAGAGAGAGAGAGAGAGAGAGAGAGAGAGAGAGAGAGAGAGAGAGAGAGAGAGAGAGAGAGAGAGAGAGAGAGAGAGAGAGAGAGAGAGAGAGAGAGAGAGAGAGAGAGAGAGAGAGAGAGAGAGAGAGAGAGAGAGAGAGAGAGAGAGAGAGAGAGAGAGAGAGAGAGAGAGAGAGAGAGAGAGAGAGAGAGAGAGAGAGAGAGAGAGAGAGAGAGAGAGAGAGAGAGAGAGAGAGAGAGAGAGAGAGAGAGAGAGAGAGAGAGAGAGAGAGAGAGAGAGAGAGAGAGAGAGAGAGAGAGAGAGAGAGAGAGAGAGAGAGAGAGAGAGAGAGAGAGAGAGAGAGAGAGAGAGAGAGAGAGAGAGAGAGAGAGAGAGAGAGAGAGAGAGAGAGAGAGAGAGAGAGAGAGAGAGAGAGAGAGAGAGAGAGAGAGAGAGAGAGAGAGAGAGAGAGAGAGAGAGAGAGAGAGAGAGAGAGAGAGAGAGAGAGAGAGAGAGAGAGAGAGAGAGAGAGAGAGAGAGAGAGAGAGAGAGAGAGAGAGAGAGAGAGAGAGAGAGAGAGAGAGAGAGAGAGAGAGAGAGAGAGAGAGAGAGAGAGAGAGAGAGAGAGAGAGAGAGAGAGAGAGAGAGAGAGAGAGAGAGAGAGAGAGAGAGAGAGAGAGAGAGAGAGAGAGAGAGAGAGAGAGAGAGAGAGAGAGAGAGAGAGAGAGAGTTGTATAGTTTTATACAGTCATATATATAAGTAACCTAACCCAACCTATACATTCGTAGTTTACAGTGCAATTATAAGAATTTTTGAAAAATTATGTAGGATCATTAAGGTGCCCTTATCAGTCACCACTGCGTGTACCGGCTAGGTACGGCATTGGCAGCAAGCTGTGACGTCACCTGACGCATGCGCATAAATCTCTCGCGTGAGATAAAACCTCACGATTGCCCAACACTGTTTTGGGACCAATTTACAACACACATTTTTGTAACTAAATTTACATTTAAAATGAAAGTACCATGCAATATAATATGTAAAAAGGATGTTAAAGGTTACAGTTTATTATAAGAGAATTAATTTAAAAAGTTAGAAGCACTTTTAATTAGGCATTTCTGGCTTATGTGTCGTCATCTAGCGGTAGAAGTAGAGAACTAATTATACTACAGTTTCAAAAGTGTGTAGTATAATTATAGTATAAATATATAGCATATTATTTGTTGAAGAATATGCTATATATTTATTAATATTGATTTTATTCTATAGCATAACAGTTTTCCGAAGTTTCGCGGAACTTTATTTCGGTAGTTCTCTGCTTGACTGCTAGATGACACTAGTGAATACTGGTTTCACACATCGCGCGAAAATATAATTTTCAAATATATGCGTAAGATCAAGATTTCATCAGTTATACTTGCCTCAAATTAATGAAAACATTATATGAAAAAATTAACTCATCTGCGTTTTCTTTAAGTTTATTATCAAATTCTCATAAACTTTCATAAAATATATAAATTTTTCAAATGAGTAAAAGCGCAAAAATACACATAAATATTGAGATGTGAAATTTTAAAACATCATATTACAGAATGTTATTTGTTCCTATAACATTATTCAGATCGAATGAGAAATTTTGTATTCCTTATAGAAATGTCAGACACAGAAACAGACTTGTAACATTCAAATATGACAAAAAAGTAGACAAGATAATTCACGGAACAGACAAAATGAAAATCAACATTAAAAACAAATAGCAGCATATGGAGAAGGGATACATGGTGGTGGACGAGGACAATAAGCTGGAAAACAACTGGGTGCACATGGGGTGCATGGAGATACACATGGTGATGGACAAAATGGTGGACATGCTGGAGGGCATGGTGGTGGACACGGTGGTAGACATGGTGGTGGTGGGCATATTGGTAGACATGGTGGGCAGGACGGTGGACGCGGTGGTGGACATGACGGTCTACATAATGGTGGTGGACAAGGTGGAGGGCATGGTGGTGGACAGGGTGGTGGACAAGGTGGACACAATCGTAGGCATGGTGGTGTACACGATGGTCGACATGGTGGTGGGCATGGTGGACACATTGTTGGACACGGGGATGTACATGATAATATGCACGGTAGTGGGCATGGTGGTGGACATGGTGGCGGGCATGGTGGTGGGCATGGTGGTGGACATGGTGGTGGGCATATTGGTAGACATGGTGGGCATGGTGGCGGGCAAGGTGGTGGACATGGTGGCGGGCATGGTGGTGGACATGGTGGTGGACATAATGGTATACATGGTGGTGGGCATGGTGGTGGGCACGGTGGTGGACATGGTGGCGGACATGGTGGTGGGCATATTGGTAGACATGGTGGTGGGCATATTGGTAGACATGGTGGTGGACATGGTGGTGGACATGGTGGTGGACATGGTGGTGGGCATGGTGGTGGACATAATGGTACACATGGTGGTGGACAAGGTGGTGGACATGGAACACAAAGATTATAAGTAGTGCAAGGTGACACACAGCAGGTAGCAGGGCAAGGTAATGGTGGACAAGGTGGAGGACAAGGTGGAGGACAAGGAGGAGGACAATCTGCAGGGGGACAGCAAGGATTCTTCTTGTTAGAACTCAGTGTGCAATATGTTGCTAATGCTTCTTTTCTAGCTTGATCAGCACAGTGGAATTTTCGCAGAGCAATTTCCACATCATCCAAATCAATTAATTTCAATAATGCATTGCGTCCTGGACAGCAAACAGGATATAATTTTGTCATACATTCTGGTCGACCCATACAGTTCCACATCATGCACCTATCTTGTAGACCATTTCTTTTAATACACTCGCATCGGTATATAATGCTTGCTCGGAAATCGAAACTTTTACAGCGTTTAATAGGATTCTGTAATTTGAAACATAAGAATTAATTCTTTTTTCAAATGGTAAAATAATACGTGTAATGTATGAATTGACAGCGAATTTTTAGATGATTCATCAGGTGATGCATATAAATACATCCATAGTATATAGATATAGTAACAAGCATAGTAGATCTTTTTATAAAAGTGGCAATGTAAGGGAATGCATTTATTAAAATCAGTATTTACTCACACAACAAAGATATTCATAGTTGCAGGGTAAAGGAGGCTCATCCCATTCACATGGTTTTCTATAATAAACGATTTATACATTTATAAATTCATCTACATTAATCTAATCCAAATATTCTTACTTCTTTTCCATAGTACCAATTAAACATTTTAGTTGACCTAACAATTCTCGTCTTCTTTCACAATTGGGATTTTTTCCATCACAAGGCATTTTCAGTAGGAATTAAATTTAGCAATTAACCAGAAAAATGTTATTTTATTTTTTTTATATAAAAATCATGGAATTTGATTTTTTATTGTGTATTCATGTTGTACTTTAATGTACTTTTTACTCGATTAATTTAGAATTAAAACGTAAGATCAAAATAGTCTAATTCCAGAAAAAATAATAATATACTCTGAACATATTTGCATTATATAACAAGTGAATTATATTTTATCTAAGCATCAGTTGTTTATCATCATTTTGCATAAAAATTGGCTGTCAAAATTCGGTGTCTTTCCAATAGAACATAATATTTAAATATAAAATCTAAAGTGAAAAAAAATTATGGCTTGTGTATCCTGCTCAAATTCGCCATGCTGTCCACCACCAGTACTTCAATATCAAATGCCACCTTGTTCATCGTGTGTATCTTATTCGTGTTATCCACCACGTTGCATTGCATGTCCACCACCATGTAGAATTACGATATGTACACCTCCAGTGCCGTGCGGACCTTGTCCACCGAAATGTATCCCATATTGCCCTCCTCCATGTGCAACAAGATGTCTGACTAGAAGTACCATGTGTCCTGTAAAGTGGACCTTTTAAATGTACTTTTCTTACTTCTATTATTATGCATTTTACAATAAACTTATTCTTATTCTGTCCGCTCGGCACATAAGAAACGAGTTATGAATACAATTAATATTACATTTAATAATTTAACTGATAATCAACTCTTAAATATATGAATAACTCGTAGCTTATTGATATTAATCAAATCTGTATACACTATAAGAATGATGGGTAATTGTGTTCATGAGGAAGCTGCTGATAGAATAGTCTAAAAATATCACTAGTGTACTTACATAAAAATAAGTGTGAAGAGATACTCATAAATCCAGCAATATGAATTGTGACAATATCTGTGACAATATATTGTGCCCATCAGTTTTCCTGTGGGCACTTGGTCTGCCCATCATTGTACTGCAAAATTGTAGTTATAATCAACCAATCCATATAATATATAATAATGAACTAAGATATATTATAATGACTTTGTTAAACAGATATTACGAAATTTGTGTACCGCCTCCACCTAAACCAAAACCAAAAATGTATATCCCTGAACGGCCCTGCAAGAGACCGAATTGTCTTCACAAACAAGGACCATTATGTTGTTTTTACTTACATTTTCGCCTACCATGTAAAGCAGATTGTTTTGAAGTATAAAAACAAGCAAGTAATAATTTCAATGTACCTTTATTTTATGTTACTGAAAAATACAAAACTTTGTACTATTCATTTATGTAATATCTCAAATTCTTTTTAACAAAATAAATTGTTTATATTAAATGTATATTATCTCACAGTTTATGTACAGTGAACACTTAGCAATAATCAAATTAGTAAGGAACAAATTTGAAAGTATTACTATCAGTCTTTAATAAAATACCACTTTCATTCAGTTTGGATATTAATTCTGGAAAACTGTCTACAAGAATTCTATTATCCGATGCTATTTCTTGTAGTTTTTTCATAGAAAATGTTTTATTGCTGTTAAGGGAAGTTTCATCTCTTAATATTTTTATAAATTTTCTGACCTTCAAAAAAATTAATATCATTTAATCATTTTTATTACCGTTATTAACTATTAGCTTTTCCCATAAAAAATTCAGATAAAATTTGATTTACCTTTTTATCTGTTACTCTTTTATTACCCGAAAATTGCCAACTTATAATTTCATTATCAAATGTATATTGTAGAATTTCTATTACATCCAAAGCATCCGCTTTCGTTACTTCTGTACGTAATTCCAGTTTTGCTCTAGCCTATAATTTCATTTGATTTTTGTTAAAAAGTTCGATATATATTTAATATTTATGCAAATATTTTATGAATTTATACCTCAGCTAATCTTATCATAGCTTCTAGTTGTCTATTATACACAGGTAGGCCACAATATTTGTTATTTTTATTTCTAAGTTCTAAATAATAATTTTGTAATATTTCTGCTGCTTCTTTACTTAATATTGGTTTGACGTATTGCCGAGCATATGCAATATATTTTCGAAGAATTGAAGGTGGAATAGTACTCATGTTTTCTTTCAAAAAGAATACAAGTCTATCCCTAAAAGATATTATGAAAAATGAATATTGCAAATAATGATTACATGAAAATAATCTTAATTACCTCAAAGAAACATTTGTTGTATCTGACAGATTAGTATTTTGAGATGTATTAGTTTGCACACCACTAATTTTATTTAAGCCATTGTGAGCTGCCATCACGTGTTTACATAAGAAATTATCTATATCCTATCACAAATAAAATATATAGTAATTAATAATGTTTCAAATATATGTACATAATTATAAAATAAATGTTAATAAATACGTACTTTATTTGGTTCATCTAATAATAAAAATATTAAATCGAAACGTGACAAAAGAGGTGGACTCATTTTTAAGTTTTGCAGTAATGTTTTGTTTCTATGAAATCGGCCAGAAATTGGATTTGCAGCAGCAAGAACTGAAGTTCTACTAGGAAGAGAACAAATTACTCCTGATTTAGCGATGCTTACACTCTGTTGTTCCATTGATTCTAACAAAGCCTACAATTGAAAAAAATTTGCTTTTATAAAAATTCTCAAAAAGTTGTATTATTCATCAAAAGTTAATTTTATATTTAAAGTAATAATTATACCGCATGCTGTTTAGATATTTTATCAAATTCATCAACACAGCAGCAACCTCTATCTGCCAAAACCAATGCACCTGGTTCTAGGGAGAAGTTATTACTTTTACTTTCTTTTATAAGTGTTATTGTTAAACCAGAAGATGTGCTGGAATTTCCACATACATATACACCTTTAAAAATTATTGTTAAATTATAAAAAAATAAAATACAATAAGCATAAAAGTAAAATTTATGGTCAATATACCTTTTGCGGCAATTCGTGAACATGCTTGTAACATCTGTGATTTTCCAAGACCAGGATCACCAACTATTAATACATGTATATTTTCTCTTGACTCTAAATGTTCTGCATTTCCACCAAACAAACTTAATATTAATCCAGCTTTGATCATTTCATGACCATATATACTGGGACAAAGAGAATGTACCAAAAGTGAAAAAATATTTGGTGTACTATATACTTCCTATAATAAATAATAAGAAGTATTAATATTAAATAATGTAGAAAATCCTTTAAAATTGAATGAATTTGGTAAATACCTTTATAGCTAAATAATCTTTTATTGACATTTCATCATTCACAATATTTTTACTTTGAAATTTTTGTTTATTGTTAATTATTGTAATAGCTTCCATATATAAAGAAAATAGGCTTTTATTTTGTCCTTTAGTTGTATTATTTCCCTAGATATATGATATATATAATTACAAACACAATGAACTTACTTGTGAACATTTAAATATATTTCCAATTTATTGTGCAAATATTTTACCTTAATAATTCCAGTTAAAGTAATATCATCTCCAGGCATACAAATATTCACTAAATCATCTCTTAATTCAATTTCAAACATCCTAGGCATAATACCCTTACTGTTCTAAGCACAGGAAAACAAAAAATTAAATTAATATGTATTTAAATATATTTAAATACAAAAAGATATTATTTATATATATTAATAAAGACCTGTTCATCGCTTGAAAGTTCTTGTATTTTAATAATTTGAAAGGAAACGGTTTTTATTAATGGAGAGTCCAATATTGCACGAAATTTAGATGTGCTACATATACCACACTTTTTTGGGACTGTATAATTTCCCAATGGCTGTTTAACCATTTTTTGTAAATTACATTTGCGACACATGAATACAATCCACTCTGGAAGATGTTTGACATGACCTACTCTTATCACACAACCCCTAACAGATACTAACTTCCCTGTTGAAAAAATTAAATATTTAAAAAATTTTCTAGGATTTACAAAATTATACACGTACCATATAAACTTGCTTTCAAATCTTGTAAACATACAATAGGTTCATAATTTAATATTTTTAATCTAACATTGGATAGTGTACTTATAATGTTTATAAAACTTAAGCTTTCTGGGGGTATTGTATTTAATATTTTCTGAAAATATTAAATAGCACATTATTTAATGAACATATATATAGTTTTCAATTGCTAATTATAAAAAGATACCTGATGCATTGCAAGCTTAAAACAATTTAATGTGTATTCAGGATTTTCATATATATCTTTCTTAAAATGAGACCACTCAGTTAAAAAAAGTTCATCATTATATAATTCACACATATCAAGTTTAAAAGCTGTTCCATTTTCTAAATTTTCTAATGAAAGTGAAACTGATAATCGCTGATGCCTATTTATAAAACGTTCTACTGTTTGAACTTTTTTTACAGTGTCAGAATCAGCTTCATATTCTAAAAGATAAATTATTTATCTGTGATTTTAATAATAAAATGCCTTCTTTACTTTAATCTTGAAGCATAGAAAAATGACCATACTTTCATCATCAAAAAATAATTTCCATCCATAATAAGGAATATCAAAATTGATGTAAGTGTCATGAGTATTTAATAAATTGCTTGCCTCAATAGGGTCCAAAAGTTTAGATAGTTTTTTATTTTGAATGTTTTCATCTTCAGATTCTGTAAATTATTTTTAAAATTTATTTATATATTTTCATAAATTGAAACCTATGTAAATGTAATTAAATAAAAGTAAAATATCTTACGACGAGATTTGTTTGATGTTTTTTTATTGCGAATCCACCTATTTTTATAAAAATCTTTTCGGTTTTTATCACCCATGATTACCAATATTTATTCAATTTCTGTATATTACGATTGTAACAGTAACCTTGTACAGTTGCACATAGTAAAATATCAGATCTCAATCACTAATATTTATCACATATTTAATATGTAGTAGGTTAGAGATCTCTTCTTTTATGATATATCAGCATCACCTTTTGATGAAGATCCTTATTTGATTCCTTATGATTCTTTTAAAAGCGTTTACCGTGGGATTTCCTTTCTGCCGGTTCATTCCCCCTTTTTATATGTTTACATATAGAGAACCGTGAAACAGACTTAGTAATTTGTTTTAAAAGCCAATGTTATTTTAAGTGCATAGTTTTGAAATAAGCAGTTTTTATGCATCGAAGAATAATATTCAATGGAATAGTCTGAAGTTTAGAAAAAGAAAATGAAGTATAAAATTAAATTTAAGTTGACTTAAATTTGGCGGCCTGCTATTCAAGGGTTGAAAGGACTGATGATTATAACCTTACAAATAATTATTTATTTTTCGTGAAATGTACGAAAAATGTACTTCTATGCTTTTATCTTTAAATATTAGATAATAATGGAGTAAACAAATTTAAATAAAACATTGCAAGTATGGACAGATACGTAATCACTGGTAAAATTGGAGAAGGTGCTCAAGGGGTTGTTTTAAAAGCATATGATACAGAAACAGAAAATAATGTTGCACTGAAGAAGTTATTCTTAAAAAATATTGAAAATGGCATATCAACATCCATTATTCGAGAAATAAAAATTTTACAACAATTAAAACATGTTAATGTATGTCAATATAATTATTACATGTTATCAGTATATAATTAATATGTATAAATATATATAAAATATGTTAGAAAATATAGCAAATAATTATTACTACTTTATCACAGGTTATAGAATTACTGAATGCTTTTCCTACTGGTCTAGAGTTTGTAATGGTTTTTGAATATATGCCTACAGGTTTATGGGAGATAATAAGAGACAATGAAATTTCATTGACCTCAAGTCAAGTGAAAACTTATACGAAAATGATTTTAGAGGGTATTGCATATATACATGGAAAAGATATAATACATAGGGTACATTTTCTAATTTTTCAGTCCTTCTTATTAAAAAATCAGTTCAATTTTTACTGAATACTTTTTGTAAATATTTGTATTTAGAAAAATAATTCTTTTGATTTATGTACAAAATTGCTAATGGTAGTCAAATTTTTATAGGATTTAAAGCCAGCTAATTTGTTAATAAATGATAAAGGCATTCTGAAAATTGCTGATTTTGGTTTAGGAAGATTAGCATGGAAAAATATATCAAAACCATATTCTCATCAAATTGCTACTAGATGGTACAGAGCACCTGAATTATTATATGGGGCTAGGTATTATACATCTGCAATTGATATGTGGTCTGTTGGTTGCATTTTTGGTGAATTACTTAACAAATCACCATTATTTCCAGTAAGATGATTATTTAAATCTTAACACATTTTTTGTAACACTTTTAAAAATATTAACAAATATTCTAAACTTATAGGGAGAAACAGATATTGAACAACTAGCAATGGTTTTAAAGCATCTGGGATCACCTACATCAGAAACATGGCCAGAATTAAATTTGTTACCTGACTATAATAAAATTACATTCCCATATCACAAAGGCGTAACATGGGAAAGTACCATAGAAGATGCTGAACCAGAAGCTATTGATCTTATTAGTAAAATTCTTATTTATAATTCATCGAAACGTTTAACTGCTGGTGAAGTAAGCAATAAAGTTATTTTTTCTAAGAGTATAATAAAAATTTCTATGAAAGACTACTAATACTCCCTTATATTTTAGGCACTAAATCATGTGTATTTTCATGTTAAACCTTACATTTCTTTAGAAAATTTAATAAAACCATCAAGTAATCATCGTAATCAAATAAAACAAAAAGAAATCAATGTAAATGTACAAGTTACTGCGCTTTTTAAAAAGTTATTGACAATTGTATAATGTATATTAAAGCAGTTTATGATAAACCTACTATAATATTAAAGCATTATTAAATATCATAAATAATAATTTTTATTCAAATCTGTTGTTATCATATATTTATTGTTCAATTACTGATTTCTATAAAATGCAAGAAATCTTTTAAAAACCTCCTTGTTATATTCTTGTACACACGGTTTTCCTTCGTCATATTGAGCTGATTCATATAATTTTATGAATGGTTCTGCCCACCAATAATTTCTGATATTTTTACTATCCATATCTAAAGTATTAAGTTGGTACACAGAAAATTGAAAATTTTGTCCATCTGATTGAATACATTGTACAACAACAGGTTCTGGCAATTCTTTCACGTTTTCTCCAAACTTTTGCCGCGCACAACCTGCTGCTGCAGTAAATGATTTCATCATTGAGCGTGCATAAATTTGGTTTTCAGTAACTGGTAATTCAGTTAAATTTTTAACTTCTTCTGGATCATAGTTTATAAAAATTGTATGTATATCATTAACTATTGGAGTTTTCATGTTGATTGCTATAAAATATAATATGTTAAACTTATTAACATATACGATATTAACATAGCCTATTAAATTTACTTATTGAACTTACGGTACATATCGGATTTGCGAACATTTGCTTTGGTTAAGCTTATGCAGTGGTGTAATGGATAAATATTTGGCATGTCAAATTCATTATTAGTATTTACATTCATTATTGGTGATAAAGATCTCGTAGATGTCATCATCATATCCATTTTTAAAGAAAACTGTATAAAGTCATCTTCTTTATCTAGGATATTAACAAAATTATCAGTACTTATTTTTTCTAGACCAGAATTATACAGTTTTTGTTATTATGTACCTATGCCCACACAGCAAATTCCATCATGTACCACTGCTCTATGTTGTGCAATATTTAGTCCACTCAACATTTCACAAAGCTGTAAAAACCTCTTTGTCAAATTATGCCTACAATATATTTTTGATTTAAAACAAAATTATTAATTTAAGGCAGTACATGTATGTGAAAAATAATTCATATTTACATTTTCCTTGTACTAGTTATACCATATGTTCGAGGAAATACCCAAGCAGGCCTTTCAGGATCTTTTACTATTGGTAATTTTACTTGTTGAGGATCATATATAGTAGATGTATAAACAATTCTAAAACAATAAAAAAATTGAAAATAAATTGATAAGTACAGGTACATGTGATATACAAAATTTTTAGTACAACAAATTGATATATATTATTAATATACCTTCTTAATAACTTATTTACGTCATCCGGAATGTCGGTAAATAATTCTTCTATTTTTTCTGGTAATTTATTATCAAGTTGTACTGTATTTGTTAGTAAGCATGCTTGTGGTACACCTGCTTGTAAAACATTATGATCTTCATATGTTAAACAACTTTGATCCCCCAAGTCAGTCTGAGTAGTGTTAACTGTATTTAAATCTGTACCTCTAAAATATTAGAAATTAATAAGTTTAATTTCATAAAACTTCACAATATAAAAATTCATAAAACAATCATATCTTTTCAATAATGTTAAAAATATTACTCTTCAAACTCAAATATTGGATAACATTTTGGTTCTGCTACAATATCTTTGGCATCTTTTACTTGAAGGCCCATACGTGTCAATATACTTTCTGCTTTAGTTGGCATTACACGTCTTTCTCGCTGATGTTGCCAAAGATACCTTACCGCTTTACCTATATGGATTTTATATAATACCTGCGTAAACTTCATTGTAATTTATCTGAAAAAATGCATGTATTAGAAATTAATTAGCACTATAATTTTTAGCATTAACTAATAACATATTAAGATTTTGTCCAAAATATATTTCTACAAATATTATAACACAAAAATGGTGATACTGGATACTAAAAAAACTTAGTTTATAACCTCCTATGATACTATTGCTTACATACTTGTTACAAAAAAAGGATAAAATGTATTACTTACACATCAATTATGCTTTCAATAATTAGTAATTTTATGTACAACGTGTAATGCTAAAGTTAATAAATAATGATCTTAAAGTTTTGTTTACTAAAACTTAACCAAAGAGTAGATATAACAAGAGGCGGCACTAGACAAGCAAACCTACCTCTTAGAGGGAGACAGAGGAGCAAAAGAATCGGCCGTGCGCATGCGCATAGTGTAGAAGTATGGCGGTCGAAAAAGAATAGTTTAAACCTGCATATACACCAGTAATTTATTTGTAATAAATATTTTATCATCCTTGTAATACATTCATCTGTAATTTCCAATGAAATATAGTTTTTCATTTTCTTATAAGTTATTTGTAAATCTTCAACATTTGGATAAGCGTGGACCTTCTAATATGTGCTTACTTGATCCAAACATTTTCGTAAAAGAAACAGTGGAACAAAATATACTGATCGAATTGAATAACTTCCTCCTTTTTCGAAGTCGGTTAATAAAATTATAATTTAATTCGTAGCTATTAGCTCGATATCGTTTTCTAAAGTTCATTTTTAAAAAAATTAGAAAACGATATCGATTACCAGGTCACACCACGTGGAGGTTGCTACGATAGTGACCCACCCTAACTCCGAATCCCTTCCACCCTCCAAATGCAACCTCATTTATCAGAAGGATAAATGAGTTTTGACTCTACTTAGCTCATAGGCTCGCATATACAAGTTCTTTACCACAATCCAGTAAAGAGCTTGTATCACACACACACACACGCAACATACATTAACTTAATACTAACTGCATGGGGCCCCACACACATACACTTAACTTATTCTAAACGCCGCACGGTACCTCTCATTCTAAGATTGCACTCAAATAATCTATGACGAATTCAAAAAGCAAAGGGAAGAAAGTTAGAAGAACTTTCCGTCACAAAGCAAAGAAAGTTAGAAGAACTTCCTGTCAAAAAGCAAAGAAAGTTGGAAGAACTTTCTACTAAAACAAAAGAAAGTTAGAAGAACTTTCTGTCAATAAAGGGGATCAGTATTTTTCGCCAAGTGAACCTCGCCTTCCATGGGTCAAAGGGTAGTCCATAGTGGCTTACGTGAACCACGAGACAGAGATGAACCGAAAGTACTGGCAAGAACGAGTGACACATCCGCGGAGGGTTTCCCATTTCTCCCCGCTTGCGTTTGAAGCAAGTCTGACCGCAGAGAGGAGACCCCTGCCGTGAGGCGGCAGATCGAGATGAGCCATCAATCGATCGGCCCCGCAGAGATGTGTCCCTGGCGCTACACCAGCACTTGCAGCTCACCTCGGCCGCGTGTTCACAGCGCTATGAACCCCCAATGATCCACTTGGGTTCGGAACGATTGACAAAAAATAACTGGGTATACTACAATCTAACGCGTACAAAGCTTGTGAAGTGAGAAGATGAGTGCAAGGTAGAATAAGAGGCACTTACAGGGACCCACCCACCCTCCCACGAGCTTAAAATTAACGCACTTAAAAGTAGCGAGCTTAAAATTATCGCACGCTTCCCACGATGATTCGATGATGTCTTCATGATGTCTTCATAATGTGGTATACGCATTACACACATGCACTCACACATACTTTACAATGGAAGTACAATTTTTGACGCAACTTAAAACTAACTTAAAATTAGCGCATCCATCGATGACAGAACTTTACAGTAGGTCTTTGATGAATACTTATTTTCTGAAACAGATAAATATTCATTAAAACATAAAATAAAATTCATTACATACTTACAATAAATTCCTGAAATCGACAAACATTCATTAATACAGAAAATAAATTTCATTACTTACTTACAATAAATTTCTGAAACAAACATTTATTAATACATAAAATAAATTCCTGAAACAGAGAAATATTCATTAAGACATAAAATAATTTCCTGAAACAGACAAATATTCATTAATACATAAAATAAATTCCTGAAACAGACAAATATTTATTAGCACAGAAAATAAATTTCATTACTTACTTAAAATAAATACCTGAAACAGACTAACATTTATTAATGCATAAAATAAATTTCTGAAAAAGACAAAGATTCATTAACACAGGAAATTAATTTCGTTACTTACTTAGAATAAATTCCTGAAACAGACAAATAATAATTAATACAAAGAATTGTGGGAGTTTTGGAACCTCAGATTCCGGAATAAAAATGCAAAGATATTCGAAAACCTCAAAACCCGAAATCAAATTGCGATGAGATTCTGAAACTTCAAAGCACGAAATAAAATCTCTAAGATGTTCCTGAAACCTCAAATTCGAAATGAAACGACAATTCGAAATGAAATCACGATGAGGATCAAAACCCAGAATGAAATCTTAAAAACTTTAGAACAGAATCAGAATGGTGTGGAAATCCAAAAACCTCGGAACTCGAAATAAAATTTTCATCGGAAACGAAAGTGGCAACAAGTATGAAGAAACGATCGAACAATAAAATGATATGAAAAGAGGAATCAAAAATAGCGAAGCAACATGAAAACTTTGAACTTAGAAATGAAATAGAGTTTAGAAAATTTTGAACTCTGAAACAAAATAGAGTTTAAAAAATTTGGAACTCTGAAATAAAATAGAGTTTCGAAAATTTTGAACTCTGAAGTAAAATAGAGTTTAGAAAACTTTGAACCCAGCAAGAAAATAGAGTTCCGAAAACTCTATGAACTCCCTCGATGATCCTGCATCCTGTGCTCACATTCACACAAACTCACGCATACTACAACATAGTACATATCTTAAATACTAATGTACCTTCTGTTCTAAAATTGCACTCGTGTAATTTAAAGCGATGTAAAATAGTAAAAAGAAGGAAAAGTAAAGAAAAGAGTTGAAAGAAGTTACTTTTAAGTTTGCAAAAATTGTCAAAATCTCTAATAATATCTCTAATATGTCTCTAATATATAGCAAGTTAAAAATTGTCACAAAAATGAGTGCAAGTTAGAACAGAAGGCACTTACAAAATGCGTAAGCTTTTCGCCACAAATTCTGACGAAAAACTTACGCCCGAGCCCACCCAACCTCCCACAGCTCGGAATTCATGTAAAACTAATGCACAGAACTTACCAAAAATTAAATTCTGAAACACAAAATTGTATTAACACAGAAATTTGAGAAGAGGGAACATAACTTACCAAAAATTAAATTCTGAAACAGACAAAATTTTATCAACATAGAAAATTAGGCAAAGGAGTGAAATATTCGAAATAAGATCGCGAAATAAAACCGTAGCTCTCAGCTCGGTATAGTTTTCTAAAGAGTAAAAAATCTTTAGAGAACTATACCGATTACCGGGTCACACCACGTGGAGGTGGCTACGACAGTGACCCACCCTGACTCCAAATCCCTTCCACCCTCCAAATGCAACCTCATTTATCAGAAGGATAAATGAGTTCTCACTCTATACG